CAATATTTGACATAATTTAAGTAATTTTTACTAAAATAAAAATGTTAATTAATCTTAAGGTGGTGCATGGTTGTCGTCAGCTAGTGCTGTGAAGTAATTTAAATATTTGAAAACTAGCGTAACCCTTATCTATATCTATATACAATATAAATAAAGGACGATGTCAAATCTTTATGCCCCTTATGTGTTGGGCTATGTAGCGTGGCGCAATGATAAATACAAATGTAAAAAATATTTATTTAAATTTGTTAACAAATTTATATATATACATTTTTTTAGATTAAATTTTATCTCAGTACAATATATAAATTGAAATTTATTTATATAAAGTAGTAACCACTAGTAATCGTTAGTCATATATATAACGGTGAATATATAATTAAGTTTTGTACACACCGCCCGTCGCATCCTGAAAATATATTAAATTTAAATTATTTTAATAATAATAAATATTTAATATGTGATTAGGATGAAGTCGTAACAAGGTAGCCGTACTGGAAAGTGCGGCTAGATATCATAAATGAATTTAAGGTTGTATTGTTTTTTTTTTATAAAAAACTAATCTAAAATTTTAAAAATAAGAGTTATAAAACACTTTAATAAATTTTAATAAATTAAAACCAATAGAATTTAAGTGTTAATTATAATAAATCAAATAATAATATTGTTAACATAAATTAATAATAATATATTTTAAAATTAAAGATTTTTTTATAAATTTATATTTAAGTAAATAAAAGTATAGTTTAAATTAAAAACAATTTTATTATATTTTCATAAAATATAATAAACTAAATAATAGTGTAAATCTATTTGCTTTTTAAAATTTATTTATTTTTTTTAAAAAATAATTAAAATTTAACAAAATTTAAAATGAATTTCTAAAATTCTATAAACGAAGAAAATCAAAAATAAAAACTTTTGAATATTTATATTTTTGCAATATTTTTTTTAATATAAACATAAAAAATATAAAGTTATTGAATGTTATAAATGTGTTTTTATAGTAATAAACAGTTATAAATAATCATTTATAAACATATAGAATACTTAAAGAACTGAATCATCTTAGTATTTAAAGGAATAAAATGTAACAACGATTTTCTTAGTAGCGGCGAGCGAATAGAAATTATAAAAATACTATATGTAATAATTAAATAGTATAATAAATTAAATTTTTATTAAATAATATGTATAATAGGTCATTGTCCTGTTTGATATGCGTTTTATTTAGTACTATCTAAAAAAATTTTTAATATTATAGAATTTTATAGGGAACAAGTACTGTGAAGGAAAGATGAAAAGATTTTGGATAAAAAAGTGAAAAGAACATGAAATTTTAAATTTTATAAAGTTTATTTAATTAAATTTAAAATTATAATTTAATTAAATGCTTGTTGAAGAATGAGTCGGCGAGTTATAATTATTTAAAACATACTAAATAATTAAAAGTATATTAAGAGATAATTCGAGTTTTAATAAAAACAATAAAAATAAATAATTATAGACCCGAACCCAAATGATCTAATTATGCTCAGAAAATACGGCATTTAAGTTGCGTATTGTTCGAACTAGTTGATGTTGCAAAATCATTAGATGAAGTGTAATTAGAGGTGAAATGCTAATCGAATTTGGAGCTAGCTGGTTTTCTCTGAAATGTATTTAAGTACAGATAAATATTAATAATAAAAGATAAAGCTCTACATTGTGTGTATTACAATGTTCCTATTGTTATGCACATTGAGTAAACTATAAATTATTATTATACTTGTATTGTTTAAAATGTATATTTAAGCAATAACTAGTATATATTTATATAAAATTGAGACTGTTAGGGTTAAGCTTAACAAGTCAAAAGGGAAACAGCCCTAAATATAAAATAAGGTTTTTAAATATATATTTAGTCTAAGAAGTTTAACTATGAACATGGCTAAAATATAAGCTTTCAAGCGGCTATTATTTAAAGAGTGGTATTGAGCACATTAGAACAGTAGTTAAATATCACAAATAATAGAAAATAAATATATTACCGAATTTATAAATTTAAATAACATAATTATGTATTAATATATATATATGTTTATTTAAGGGGTAAGAGAACGTTTTATTTATAAGTCAGTATAATTTTTACGTTAGTATAAATTAAATTATAATAATATAAATAAAAGTGATAATGCCGATTTAAGTAATAAAATATTAGATATTAAATCTAATACTCCGAATATTTATAGATTTCCTATTAAAAGAATTTATCAAATAGGGTAAGTCGAAGTCTAAAAATAAATATACCAATATATTTGATGATAAATAAGTTAATATTCTTATACTATATTAAAATTAATTTATATTAAAATTTAAACAATATAATTAAATTTAAATTTTTATAAAAATAAACAAGTAATAATTCTAATATTATTTTAAAAATTATAAAATTTTTATCTTTTTTTATATTTTTAACTAGAAAAGTTTAAATTTAAAATATTTTAATATATTCGTATTAAATCTAACACAAGTAAATAGGTAGTAAAAATACTAAGGAGATGAATAAATTTTCTTTAAGGAACTAGGCAAAATTATTCTGTAACTTAGGGATAAAGAATGCTTTTAAAGTGTAACATACTAGGCTCAAACGACTGTTTATCAAAAACACAGGTTCTTGCTAAATTTAATAATGATGTAAAAGAACTGACTCCTGCCCAGTTCTAGTAAGTAAATAAAGGACACTGCTATTAGGTGTTTTTTTAAGCTCTAGTTAAACGGCGGCTGTATTCATAACGGTCCAAAGGTAGCGAAATTCCTTGTCGGGTAAGTTCCGACCTGCATGAAAGGAGTAACGATTTGAGCGCTGTCTTAAAGAGAATTTCAATGAAATAATAATGTCTGTGAAGATACGGACTATTTACACAAGGACAGAAAGACCCTATGAAGCTTTACTATATCTTATAAATGTAATTTATATTCTAGTTATGTAGAATATATGGTTAGAATAAATTATAATATAATTTATTTTTGTAGCTGGAATACCATTTGAGTAGAATAAAATTATTAATAATATTAGATATAAAAATCTAATTAAATATTTATAAGTGTGGTAGTTTTACTGGGGCGGTATCCTCCTAAATAGTAACGGAGGAGAACTAAGGGTATTTAAATAATATCTAAAAAGATATTATAAAATTTTAAAGATAATAATACCTTAACTGTTAAATAAACTTATTATACAGAAATTAATGTTGGTCTTAATGATCCGATAAATAAAATTAATAGATGTATTATCGATAAACGGATAAAAGTTACTCTAGGGATAACAGGCTGATCTCTCCCGAGAGATTTGATATTGACGGGGAGGTTTGGCACCTCGATGTCGGCTTATCGCATCCTGAAGCTGAATAAGGTTTCAAGGGTTGGTTTGTTCACCCAATAAAGCGGTACGTGAGCTGGGTTCAGAACGTCGCAAGACAGTTTGGTCCATATCCGGTGTAAATTAATAAAACATTGCGATAATTCTTTTTAGTACGAAAGGAATAAAAGAACTATATTAATTGTGTGCTAGTTATTTAATTAAAATTAAGTAAATATTAGGTAGCAACATATAGGTAAAAAATAATTGCTGAAAAAATATAAGCAAGAATATGCTTTTAAATATGTTTTAAAAATAAAAAATTATTAATAACAAATAATTATAATATATAATAAAGTGTACTTACAGTGATGTATTTAGCTTTATATTTATAGATTTTATGTTTTAATTATTTCTAAACACTTAATATAATAGTGTTTAGTTTGTGCTGATATAGTTTAAATAAGGTAAAATAGCTAATTTGTAATTAGCCAGATAAGAGTTCAAATCTCCTTGTCAGCTGTTATTAAATGTGTTTACGGTATGTGTAAAAATATACACACCAATCATATACTTTTATTTTAACAATATTTAAACAGCTACCCCCTGTGTTAAAATAAAAGAAATACTTTATAATTATATTATTTAAATAATTATGAGAATTAAATTGAACAAAATTAAAATTTTAAAAAAATTTAATTTATATACTTTACCAGGGTTTACAAATAAATTAAATTTTTATCACATAATAGATAAAAAATATAAAGTATATAAATTATTAAAACATATACATTTATTAAAAACTATATATAATTTAAAAAATAAAAAATTAAAAGAATATTTTGAATTTAACCTATATAAGCTTATAAACCTATTAAAATTGTTAAAGTCTAGAGCGGACAATATTTTAGTAGAATCTAACTTATTTTTAACTTTAAATAATATTAGACAGAATATAACACATAAAAAAGTACTACTTAATAATAAAACTATAATTAATTATAGCTATATAGTGCGTATTAATGATATATTGCATATTTTAAATATAGATATAAAAAAAATTATAAATATAATTGTTTATAATTTTTTTTTTAAAAATTTAAACATATTGCATCTGTATACTAAAATTTACAAAACTTTTAAATACAGAAAGTCTATAAAAAATATACTTATATGTAAAACTTGCACTATTTTTAATAGTTATATATGCTATAAAAATTTTAAAGTACAAATAAATCTTTATAATGATGTTCAAAATATAGCTAATAACTATATTTTAAACTCAGACTGTATAAATAAAAACTAGTGTTTATTAAAGCTTATATAGTAGTTATTAAAATATTATTATAACACACAATAATAATATATATATAATTTAATTGATAAAATATTAATCTTCCAAATTAATTTTAAGGGTTTGAGTCCCTTTATATATACATTGAAAATAAATAAGTGTAAAGTTACACATGTAATATAATGTATCTATCGCTTAGAGGTCAATAGCGATGAGCTCATGACTCATTATTATATATCAGTAGTTCGAATCTACTTAGATACAATTAGAGGTAAATATATCCAAAAGGTTAAGGAAAAAAATTGTGGATTTTTTAATTTATGAGTTCGAATCCCATTATTTACCTTAATTTTTTATAACTTTCATAGAAAGATGTCCGAGAGGTTAAAAGATGTAAATTGCTAATTTATTATTCAAGGGTTCGAATCCCTTTCTTTCTTTTTATTATTAAGAAATGTGGTGAAACGGTAAACACAATGGACTTTAAAATTAATAATTTTATAAATAAAAAAATAACAAAAAGAGTATTATTTTATAAAATTTTTAAGTATTTAAGAGTTTAAAACTCTGTAATTTTTAAAATTTAAAATTCAAACGACTTTATTTTAAACTATTTTAAGTTTTAAAATATATAAAAAGTCTTTTATAATAGTTTTTAGTTTTTGTATAAAATTAAAAACTATAAATTTTTATGAAAATCCATTTATTTTAAAAAAATAATAAGGGTTCGAATCCCTTCATTTCTAAAATTTATTTATATTAATAATTGTTAAAATTTATTAACAACTATTTTTATATACAGGTCTTTATGAAGTTATAATTTAACGGTTAAAATATTATATTGTCATTATAAAAATATGAGTTCAAGTCTCATTAATTTCGATTTTAAATTTATATTTAGCTTTAATCGTCCAACGTCAGGACATTTTCTTTTCAAGAAAAAAATAGGAATTAAAATTTCCTTTAAAGTGCTTTTACGCATATATAAGTAAGTACCTAAGCGGTTAAAAGGAATAGATTGTAGATCTATTGATATAAAATTCTACATCAGTTCGAATCTGATCTTACTTATTACACTAGCTATTTAACTTGTACTTAAATTTTAGCTATATAATTTAATTTAAAATATATAAATGCAGCTTATGAAATCTCAGTTAAAATCTGAGTGTAGCTTTAAAAGATTACTAAGCCTATAAATTAAGATTACTAGCTTAATAGGTAAAGTATTCGCTTTTTAAGCGAGGTGTTCTGAGTTCGAATCTTTGGTAATCTAACACTTAATATACACACATAAAATATGGTTAAAATATTTTGGTAGCACACCTAAATAATAATCATAATAACACAAAAATTTTAAATGATAAGCATATTATTAAATATAACATTTTATTTTAATATAAGCCAGTTAAAATTTTACAATTATAACATACTGATACGCAATTTAATAAAATTTAATATTTCTTATAGAAGTATTTTTGTGTACTTAAAAAATATACTTAAACAAACAATGTTCAACATAAAAAACAAATATAATTCTATCAAAAGCAAAAACAAACATTCTAAAACTTATTATTCTTCTTCTCATAACGTTAAAAAAGGTCTAGTATGGTTTGGATTTAGAACATTAAAAATTAACTCATATAGTATACTTTATTTAAAACTATTAATTTCTACTATTTTCAATTTAAGAAGCAATTTATCTATAATAAGTTTAGAATATATTAAATTTTTATACTATATTAAAAGTTTACAAAATTTTAGAATTAATAAACTACTTTTAAATAATTTAACATCTTCTAATTATATTTTAAATAACACTAATAACAAAGTTTTACTTAATTTTAAAAAAAATAATATAATAAATATAATTTATTAAATTATAAAATAAAATGATAATATTCAAAATAAGGTATAATAAAAAAATAGGAAAAAGTAATAAAGGACGTATAATAGTTAGACATAAAAAAGTAGGTTTAAACAACTATTATATACCTGTAGATATAAACTATTTTAATAGGACTATATATGATAACTTATATTTTATACTTTATGATATAAAACTTAATGAAATATTTAGAAATACTAAATTGATTTTAAGTGTATGTATAAAAGGTAAAGTTAAAGGAGAATCTAGATATATACTTAAACCTTATAAGAAAACATATGGAGATTTTATTAAATTCTATAATAAAGGAACTAAAACAGAAGGGGATGTAGACCTAATAATTAATTTTTTCATAGGTAATAAAATTTATAATATTGATTATAAAATTTTTAAAATATACAAAATATGTGTTTCGGCACTTTCTTTCGCTATTATATTAGCAAAGTCTAATAACTTAACTACATTAAAACTACCTTCAAATAAAATAATTTCTGCTGATTCTTATTTTTTAGCTTCTTACTTTTTTGCGGATTCTGTTTTTAATTATACATATAAAAAAGCAGGAGATAGTATAAATTTAGGTAATAGACCAAAAGTAAGAGGAACAGCTATGAATGCCTGTGACCACCCCCACGGTGGAGGTGAAGGTAAATCTCCAATAGGTAGAAAAACTATATATTCTTTCACAGGTAGAAAATGTAAAGGAATTAAAACAGTTCGTAATTAAATGTCAATATACACAAACTGGAAAAAAATTTTTATAACTAACGATATATATAGAAAATTAAAAAGAAAAAAAAGTAATAATAAATATTTTATTTTAAAGACATATAACCGTAATATAAGAATTTCATCTTTATTTAATGATACCGTTATAAAAGTATATAACGGTAAAAAATTTTTACCTATAAAAATTAACTCATTAAAGTTTGATATAAAATATAGAGTATTTATACCTACAGTTAATACAATATAAAATGACAAAATCTATATCGCCTATAATTTTTCGTAGTAATTTATTTTTAAATTCTATTAATAAAATACATATTAAAATAAATAAAAATTTAACTTATTTAAATCATTTCAAATTTTTTCAAGTATTATTAAATACTATTTATATGTATAAAAAAACATTAAAAAAAATACAAATAAATACAAAATTTTTATATTTTACATGCAGTTATATAGATATATATAATATATGCTTAAATATTTGTTTTTATGACATATCTAGAAACACTAAAGACCTTATTAAAAGCTATAAATTTATGTACGTATTTAATAGAAGTTTAAACTATTTTATGAGTTATAAAATACATAAAAATAAAAGTTTATTTATTTGGACAGTTATATCTTATGTTAAAAATAAAATAAATAATAAATTTTATATACTTCATAATATAAAATACTATCTATTAAAAAGTTCTAATTCGTATTATAAAATAATTTCTTTTTGTTCTAAGATATTAAATATGAATATAAAAAACAAGTGTGATATACTTGGAATAAAAATTAAATATTCTGGGTGCCTACAAAAAGGAGGTAATAAAAAAAAAGTATTTTCTTATACTAAAGGAGATGTTCCAATATGCACTATAAGTAAAAACGTAGACTATATTAGCGGACATATAAACACATATAAAGGTGCTATAGGTATAAAATGTTGGATGGTTTTTAAATAATGGCTAATTTAAGACATATATTAAATAAAAAATATCCAAATAATCACGGACTTAAATTAAAAAAAATACATAGAAATAATAAGCTGCATTACGGTGATTGGGGTATTATAGTGTGCGAAGAAGGTATTTTAACTCCTAATCAAGTTGAAACTGTTAGGTGTATTTTATCTAAAAATATAAAACATATAGGAAAAGTTTGGATAAAAATTTTACCAGATAAAATTATAACACGTAGACCTAAAGACTCTAGAATGGGATCAGGTAAAGGTAAACCTCATTTATGGGTATTTACATCAAGACCGGGAGATATAATATTTGAAGCTACTAAAGTATCAAAATATGTTTTATTTAAAATGTTTAGTCTTATTAAATCTAAATTTCCTTTAAGAATAAAAATAATATATAAAAATGGAGTATACAGTAATTAAACCTTATTATAAGTCTATAGAGTGCCACTATACTAAATATAAAAAACACCCTAAATATAATAAAATTTTAAAATTTAATAAATACTTTAAAATAAAAGATGTTAGGGGTGAGTTTAAAATTAATGATAATTTATATAAGCTTAAATCTAAATTTATAAATAAATATGACTAGTATTTTTACTGTTTTTAAACCTTCCGATAATAGCGGGTTTAAAAAAGCTAAATGCTTAGGAAGTTTAGGAAATATAAAAAATTTAAAACTTAATAATGTATGTATTTCTGTAGTTAAAGCCTGTAAAAGAAAAGCTAAATTTGTTAAAAAATCAGATATAATTAAAACTATTATCTCACATACAAAACTTTATAATTTTAATAAATATAAAGGCATTAAGTTTCATAATAACTCTTTAATAATGCTAAATAGACTATACTCAAATACTAGAAGTTATGATGAGAAAAATAAAACTAAAGAAATGTCTAGTATTAAACTTAAAGGTATTATACCTATTTCTGTATTAAAAAGTTTAATAAAATTTAAAACAAATTTAAAAAAAGCTATATTTATATAATACTAATGACACATAATAATATAATAAATAAAGTTGTTATATATAGTTATTTATACAATAATACTGGCTATAAAAATGATACATTTTTATATAATGTGTCTTTGTCTATACAAACTATAACAAGACAAATTCCTATATATTTATTTAATAAAAAAAAAGAAGTTGTGGGTACTAAAACTACTTTATTAAATGAGAATTTAAATAAATTTTTATATAAATTTAAAAAATTTACATTAGTTAAACTTTATAATACTTCTATTTTTTATAAAAATATATGTAGTTTTGATTCAGATTTAAATATAAATGTTTGTGTAAACAATAGATCTTACTTTTTTGAATATTTTAATAGTTCAACTTTAAAATATATATATAAGTTTAATTTAAAATTTATTTTTAATAAATATATTAATAATATATATAAATTAAATTATATTAAAAATAATATTAATTTTAAGATATAAAATAAAAATAACTAATGATATTAAATATAAATAATAAAAAACTTACAGAAAGTATATATAATAAATGTTTACTATTAAATTATATAAACGAATATAAATCTTTAAAAATATATAATAAAGTTTATAGATTTGATATAGACCATAATATAAATTTTGTTAAAAATTTTTATAAAATTTCTAATTATATTCATATTAAATATAGAAAATTAAAACATATAAATAAAAATTTAAAATCAGGTATTTTATTATTATCTACTACTTTAGGTATTTTAACTAATAAAAAAGCTGAAATGTTAGGTATTGGTGGTGTTCTTATATGTTATATGTCTTTTAAATAAATGATTAAATATTTAAAAAATTATACAAATAAACACTTTATAAACACTAAATATTCGCATGTTTTAGATAGGAAAACAAATAATGTGCATATGTATTTAAAATCAGATAAAACTAAACAATTTAGAGCCGCATTACTTTTAAACAAATTTATTTTTAAGACTATTTTTAATAGCTCTATTTTCTGCTATAAAAGTAAATATTTCAAATTTATAATGTTTATAAAATCTTTTATATCTTATATTCACACTATATTGATGTCATTATTTAATGTGTATACTATTAATATACAAATTTTAAGTATATTTTATAAAGTAATACTTATAAAAAATAAACTTATATTAAAGATAAATAATTTTATAAATATAATAGTGTATATATCTAATTTAGATCAACTTAATATACGTATACAACAAAGTAATTCTACTCTTATATCTGTTTCTTCTTATAATAAAGTGTTTATAAGTAGTTTATGTTCTATTATAGTAAATTGTAAAAAATTTAATGTTTATACTAACACTGGTATAAAATATTTAAACCAAAAAATACATTTAAAAAAAATTTTAAAATTAAAAAAAAAATAAAATGAAACATAATTATGATTACAATAAATTTAATATTAAATATTATGAACATTTTAATTTATTAACTTATTATAAAATTTACAAAAATTTTTTTTTAAAACCTATTTATATTAAAAAAGTTAAAAATAATCAAAAAAAAACTTATTGTAAATATAATTTTAATTTATTAAATATATCTTATGCTTATTCTTATCATTATTTAGCTAAATATATCTATAGAAATGTACATCAAATAGTATACATGAAAGATTCATTTATAAAAAATAATAATAATGTTAATACTATAGTACTATACTATAATAAGCTTTTTGTAAAAAGTAAGCAAAAAAAAGAAATGAAATATGACGTTATTATAGGTAGCGGTTCTAGTCGTCATTGGGTAGGTGTAGGCAGCAGTAAAAATTCTATGTATAAAAAGGCTTGTGAAGCGGCTTCTAATCAATCTAAAAAGTATATATATAATTTAAAGCTTGCTCCTGATGATTATAAAACATTTAAATATAAAAATTATAAATTTTCTATATTAGATAAGTCTCCTAATAAAGTTAATTTTAATATATATAACGATATAACAACATTATCTGGTATAAAAAAATTAAAACTTATATCTTATACAAAGGCTAAACCTAAAACTATTTTAAGAGCTATTTTACACTATTTTAACTAAAATGAAAAATATATCAGATTTATTTATATCTAATAACGTAACTTTAAAACATCATAAGCTTATACGTTTATCTTTATTTAAAATATATGGTGTAAACCAATATAGAGCTAATATAATTCTTACATTAATAAGCTTTTCTGTATATTTAAATTATGATAAAGTTCTTTATAAGCACTATGCTCAGTTTAATAATATTTTTAATTATTTAACATTTAATATAAATATTTTTAAAAAAAAAAGTGACTTGTATATTAGAAGAAGATACTTAAAAAATAATTGTACTATACCCTATAAAAAATGAAATTTAAAACATCTATAAAAAAATTGTGTGATAACTGTAAAGTTATAAAAAGATTTAAAAGACTTATAAATATTTGTAGTAATACAAGACATAAATACAGGCAAAAATGAAAACTAAATTTTATGGTATATTAAATTATTATAATAATAATAAAATTAAAACAGCAGTTAAGTTAGATTATGAAATAAATGTATCTACAATATTGTTTAAATTTAATAATTTATTTATAACTTCTTCTAAATTTAAAAGATATGGGAACACATTTATATTTGTAACAATATTAAAATCACTATCATGTGGTCAGTTTAAAAAAAAATGCTCTTCTTATAGAAAAGTTAAAAAATTATCTATACTTACATTAAACAAACTTCTTAATAAATTTATTGTATTTCTTGTGTACAATGAAAAAAATGATATACATATTATATTTAAAAATAAATCAACATTTAAAAGAACTTTATTATTTTTATTTTTAAAATTTAATGATCTTAAAGCGATTAAATTAAATACTGTTTCTCATATATTAAATTATCCTTATAACGGGTGTAGATTAAAAAAACGTAAATTTAAATGATAACTATTAATCAGCTTATAGGTAAAAAAAGAATAAAAAAATACAAAAAAACTCCAAGTAAAGCTTTAAATAAAAATCCACAAAAAAAATGTAAATGCAATGCTTTTATAGTTATGTCACCAAAAAAACCTAACTCCGCTGTTAGAAAGGTTATTAAAGTAACTTTAAATAATAAAACTGTATTAGCATATGTACCTGGGGAAAATATGCTAGTTCCTAAAAATAGCAGAGTACTTATAAAAGGAGGTAATGTTCCAGATCTTCCAGGTGTTAAATATAAAGTTATTGTAGGTGTTTTAGATGTTAGAAAAATACATCGTAGCACTAAAAGGTCTAAGTACAGTGTAAAAAATATTTTAAAAACTAAATAATGAAAGTTATAAAAGAAAATAATATATATATAAAAAAAGAACTAATATTAAATTTATTTAATAAATTTGTACAACAAAAAGGAAAATATACAAAATCTAAAACACTATTAATAAATATAGGGGACAAAATAAGTTATATGTCTTTACTGTCCACAGGGTTTATGTCTGTTTTAGAATATATAATATATAAGTTAAACTTGCCATTAATAATGATAACTAACAAGTTAGACCAATCTAAGTATTATTTTTTAGTTATGTCCTCTATAAAGTATATTAAAAAATTTATATTTAATCCTTTTTTAAAATCTATAAGATCAAAAAAAAAATTGCCTTTTATTTTTAATTTTATAGTAGAGTTTAATAATATTTTAAAAGAAAATAGTAGTTTAGTAGACCATAAAGAAAATGTTTTAAACATTTTTGAAGATACAAACGCCTATATAAGAACAAAAAAAATAAATTCTTTAACAAACTCTACTATGTGTAGTAATTTTATGTACGTGAATTATAAATTAAAATATGTACGTAGAAACTTATATAACGCTAATATATATACACATACATACGTTAATACAACTACAAAAGAAATTAATAAAAATAAAATGTATAATAAATTAAATAATAAAGATAAAACTTATATCTTTTATTCTTATATAAAATAATGTACGATCCTTACTCTAATGCCGAGAAAATTAAAACAATTTTAAATCCTATAGCCTTAAAACTAAAATATGTATTAGATATTATTGTAGATTACCTAATATATATATTTGAATATTTAAGGCTATTACTAAATGAAAGTTATTTAAATCAATATAAAATAACTAAAAAACAGTCTATTTTATATAAATTATATGGAATTATTTTCGCGTTTGTTAAACTATCTTCTCTTTACATACTATTACCTTTCCATATATTACCTAAACTTTATATGGCGTGTATATTTAGTGTAATTAACACTCTTATAGATATGAAGATAATACTACAAACAAAAATTAAAAATAAAAAAATTTATCTTCAATTATTTATAGAAGAGTTTCATTTATAAAACATAATGTACGATCCTTACTCTAATGCGGAGAAAATTAAAACAATTTTAAATCCTATAGCCTTAAAACTAAAATATGTATTAGATATTATTGTAGATTACCTAATATACATATTTGAATATTTAAGGCTATTACTAAATGAAAGTTATTTAAATCAATATAAAATAACTAAAAAACAGTCTATTTTATATAAATTATATGGAATTATTTTCGCGTTTGTTAAACTATCTTCTCTTTACATACTATTACCTTTCCATATATTACCTAAACTTTATATGGCGTGTATATTTAGTGTAATTAACACTCTTATAGATATGAAGATAATACCACAAACAAAAATTAAAAATAAAAAAATTTATCTTCAATTATTTATAGAAGAGTTTCATTTATAAAACATAATGTACGATCCTTACTCTAATGCGGAGAAAATTAAAACAATTTTAAATCCTATAGCCTTAAAACTAAAATATGTATTAGATATTATTGTAGATTACCTAATATATATATTTGAATATTTAAGGCTATTACTAAATGAAAGTTATTTAAATCAATATAAAATAACTAAAAAACAGTCTATTTTATATAAATTATATGGAATTATTTTCGCGTTTGTTAAACTATCTTCTCTTTACATACTATTACCTTTCCATATATTACCTAAACTTTATATGGCGTGTATATTTAGTGTAATTAACACTCTTATAGATATGAAGATAATACCACAAACAAAAATTAAAAATAAAAAAATTTATCTTCAATTATTTATAGAAGAGTTTCATTTATAAAACATAATGTACGATCCTTACTCTAATGCGGAGAAAATTAAAACAATTTTAAATCCTATAGCCTTAAAACTAAAATATGTATTAGATATTATTGTAGATTACCTAATATATATATTTGAATATTTAAGGCTATTACTAAATGAAAGTTATTTAAATCAATATAAAATAACTAAAAAACAGTCTATTTTATATAAATTATATGGAATTATTTTCGCGTTTGTTAAACTATCTTCTCTTTACATACTATTACCTTTCCATATATTACCTAAACTTTATATGGCGTGTATATTTAGTGTAATTAATACTCTTATAGATATGAAGATAATACCACAAACAAAAATTAAAAATAAAAAAATTTATCTTAAATTATTTATAGATGAATTTCATTTATAGATTACACAACACAATAATAATGTACACTTCATATTATACTAAAACTATTAAACATTTATTAAATAAAATATATAATAAACTACTTTATATACTAGAATTAATTTATATAATACTATTATCTTTATTCAGAATTTTAAAACTAAGACTAGAAATTTATTTAAATAATTATAACCTTGCATCCAGTTCTATAAATTTATATAAATTATATGGAATTTTATTTTATACTATTAAAATAAGTTCTTTTTATATTTTACTTCCAACCTATATAATTCCTAGCTTTTATATAGTAGGTATATGCACTTTTATTAATAATATTATAGACACAAAAATAACACAACAGAATAACATAAAACAACAAAAATATTTTATTAATATACTTATAGACAAATACTATTTATAAATTTTAAATTATTCCTTAATAGCTTAATAGGTAAAGCAATCGATTGTTAATCGGTTTAATAATAGTTCGAGTCTATTTTAAGGAGAGCTGTATAGTACAGGGTATAGTGTAATAATAACATATTCATTTTGGGTATGAAAGATATTGGTTTAATTCCAGTTACTTTGATATTTTTAATATAAATTTAGAAAAAAGAGAGTTGGCAGAAAGAATATTGCGTTTAATTTGAGATTAAATTTTTAAGGGTTTAAATCCCTTACTCTCTTTTACTGTAGCTAGGCGTGTAGAAGGTCATCTAATTTATAAGATAAAGATTTTTGATATCTTAAATAAAGGTTAAAGTCCTTTCCTTCTAAGTCTACTTTAGTACCAATTTAATTTAATTTTAAAATATGAAATTCCAGATTTTAAAATAAAAGTATAATAATCTTTTAATTGGTGTAAGTAGACTTTACACGCCTTAAAGCTGGTAAATTTTAAGCTTAATTAAGTTAAGTTTTTATGAAATCATAAAATGTCAAAAGAACAATATATAAAAAACAAACCACATATAAATATAGGTACTATAGGACATATAGACCACGGGAAGACAACATTAACTTCCGCACTAACAAGTGTTCTTAAGGCTAAAGGGCTAGCTAAAAAAGCCCATTCTTATGAAGAAATAGATTCTGCTCCTGAAGAAAAAAGCAGGGGTATAACTATAAATACTAAACATGTAGAGTATGAAAGTAATAATAGACACTACGCCCATATAGACTGCCCAGGACACGCAGACTACATAAAAAATATGATAACTGGTGCAGTACAAATGGACGGAGCAGTTTTAGTAATTTCATTAGTTGACGGTCCTATGCCTCAAACTATAGAGCATTTATTACTTATAAAACAAATAGGTATAGAAAATATTATAATTTTTTTAAATAAAGAAGATAAAATAACAGATATAGAACTTATTAATTTCGTAGAAGAAGAAGTTAGAGACATATTAGTTAGATATAATTTTAAAGAAGAATGTGCTCATTTTACTTCTGGATCTGCTTTAGAGGCTTTAAATGTTGTAAAACAAAGTAATAAATTAGATTTTAATAATGTATGGATTAAAAAAATTTTAAATTTAGTTGACTATATAGACATACATATACCAACACCTACTAGAGATCTAGTAAAACCTTTTTTAATGCCTGTTGAAGATAGTTTTTCTATTACAGGTAGAGGTGTAGTTGCTACCGGTAAAATAGAAAGAGGTAGTATTAAAATAGGTGACAAGTTACAGTTATTAGGTTATGGTGAGTCTAAAATAACTTCTATACTAAATATTGAAATGTTTAATAAATCTTTACCACAGGCAGAGTCTGGGGATAATGTAGGTATATTATTACGTGGTATATCTAAAACAGATATAAAAAGAGGTTATATTTTAACTATTCCAGGAACAGCTAAGTTATATAATCAATTTAAAGCTAACTTATATGTTCTTAGTAAGCTAGAAGGTGGAAGACATACAGCTTTCACTATAGGGTATAAACCTCAATTTTTTATAAGAACATCAAATATAACAGGTACAATAACTAATATATATTCATCAGTAAATGATATAAATATAGATTTAGCTATTCCTGGAGATAATGTTCTTGTAACTGCTGTTATAGAAAAATCTATGCCTTTAGAAACCGAGCTTAGATTCGCTATAAGAGAAGGAGGTAAAACTATAGGGGCAGGTATAATAATAGAATTACAAAACTAACAAAATAAATGACATTTATGGGACATTTAGTAGCTCTAACTAAAGAGGATATAGTAGAGTATTGTAAAAGTACATATAACCATTATTTTAATTATGATATAGCCAGAGATACATTAAGATTTTATCCTATGGGGTCTATGATGTTAATAAGAGGTATAATTAGTATTTATAATCAAGTAGAGTTTAAAAAAATATTTACATTTTTAAATCTATGTAAATTTATTGACTATTTACTCGGCATAATAATAAATAGATTAAAAATGTTAAGAAATTATGATATTCTAGATGGGGTAGATCTAGTTGTCTTTTTCTTTGAGTTTTTAATAGATAAATATATTTTTAGACTTAATGGTTTTCAAATGGCACAAAAGTGTAGATTTTCATTAAGGTATTATGCGCTATGGATAAGATGTTTTTCAACAATAGAAATTAAGAAAGATGTGCATCCTTTTTTTTATGGTGCTTTAGCTCTTGTTATGACACTTTTAGTTGTGCCACCACTTTTTTACGCTATAATAACTGATATAGAAAATTTCAATACATTTGATAACCTTTATCATTATTTTATATCTACAGTAACTCCTTTTTAAATATAATGAAACACGTTGAAGTATTATTCGATTTAATAGAGCTTATACAGCTATTTATAAGCGTACAGCTAGAAGCTTTAGCATTTTTAATATCATATATAATTATAACTATAGTAAGATTTGTAAAAGCTTTTTTTACAAAAAAAGAAACAACATACGAAAAAGTTATTAATTATATAAAAAATAATAAAATTAAAATTATTCATAATATTTTATTATTTATTTTTCCTGTATCATCTAATGCATGGTGTGTAGCTCAATTTTACACTTTTATATCTTCATTTTACAATGAAGATTGGGAAATACTTATTAGTTTTTTTTCAGTTTTTGCAAATATGGTGTGTACAGGAATAGCTAATCAAATATTTTTAGTTTTTGAATAGGTTTTATTTTAAATATATATATACATATTAATATATACCGTATGTACGACTATTAAAGCGTATTTTTAATATAATTTTAATTTTTAATAATATAAATTGAAATTATATATTTTATAAAGTATTCAAAAACAGCTAAAATCCATTAAAAATAATATATATAATTATATTCAAATATAACTATACGTAAAATACATTTAAGTATAAAAAAATATAAAAAAACAATGTTTTTAAAAATAACTAATAAAAATATAAATTTAATAAATAATATTTTTAAAAAAACAATAACAAACAGTATAAAATATATAAAATAAATGACATTTATGGGACATTTAGTAGCTCTAACTAAAGAGGATATAGTAGAGTATTGTAAAAGTACATATAACCATTATTTTAATTATGATATAGCTAGAGATACATTAAGATTTTATCCTATGGGGTCTACGATGTTAATAAGAGGTATAATTAGTATTTATAATCAAGTAGAGTTTAAAAAAATATTTACATTTTTAAATCTATGTAAATTTATTGACTATTTACTCGGCATAATAATAAATAGATTAAAAATGTTAAGAAATTATGATATTCTAGATGGGGTAGATCTAGTTGTCTTTTTCTTTGAGTTTTTAATAGATAAATATATTTTTAGACTTAATGGTTTTCAAATGGCACAAAAGTGTAGATTTTCATTAAGGTATTATGCGCTATGGATAAGATGTTTTTCAACAATAGAAATTAAGAAAGATGTGCATCCTTTTTTTTATGGTGCTTTAGCTCTTGTTATGACACTTTTAGTTGTGCCACCACTTTTTTACGCTATAATAACTGATATAGAAAATTTCAATACATTTGATAACCTTTATCATTATTTTATATCTACAGTAACTCCTTTTTAAATATAATGAAACACGTTGAAGTATTATTCGATTTAATAGAGCTTATACAGCTATTTATAAGCGTACAGCTAGAAGCTTTAGCATTTTTAATATCATATATAATTATAACTATAGTAAGATTTGTAAAAGCTTTTTTTACAAAAAAAGAAACAACATACGAAAAAGTTATTAATTATATAAAAAATAATAAAATTAAAATTATTCATAATATTTTATTATTTATTTTTCCTGTATCATCTAATGCATGGTGTGTAGCTCAATTTTACACTTTTATATCTTCATTTTACAATGAAGATTGGGAAATACTTATTAGTTTTTTTTCAGTTTTTGCAAATATGATCTGTACAGGAATAGCTAATCAAATATTTTTAGTTTTTGAATAGGTTTTATTTTAAATATATATATACATATTAATATATACCGTATGTACGACTATTAAAGCGTATTTTTAATATAATTTTAATTTTTAATAATATAAATTGAAATTATATATTTTATAAAGTATTCAAAAACAGCTAAAATCCATTAAAAATAATATATATAATTATATTCAAATATAACTATACGTAAAATACATTTAAGTATAAAAAAATATAAAAAAACAATGTTTTTAAAAATAACTAATAAAAATATAAATTTAATAAATAATATTTTTAAAAAAACAATAACAAACAGTATAAAATATATAAAATAAATGACATTTATGGGACATTTAGTAGCTCTAACTAAAGAAGATATAGTAGAGTATTGTAAAAGTACATATAACCATTATTTTAATTATGACATAGCCAGAGATACATTAAGATTTTATCCTATGGGGTCTATGATGTTAATAAGAGGTATAATTAGTATTTATAATCAAGTAGAGTTTAAAAAAATATTTACATTTTTAAATTTATGTAAATTTATTGACTATTTACTTGGTATAATAATAAATAGATTAAAAATGTTAAGAAATTATGATATTCTAGACGGGGTAGATCTAGTTGTCTTTTTCTTTGAGTTTTTAATAGATAAATATATTTTTAGACTTAATGGTTTTCAAATGGCACAAAAGTGTAGATTCTCATTAAGGTATTATGCGCTATGGATAAGATGTTTTTCAACAATAGAAATTAAGAAAGATGTGCATCCTTTTTTTTATGGTGCTTTAGCTCTTGTTATGACACTTTTAGTTGTGCCACCACTTTTTTACGCTATAATAACTGATATAGAAAATTTCAATACATTTGATAACCTTTATCATTATTTTATATCTACAGTAACTCCTTTTTAAATATAATGAAACACGTTGAAGTATTATTCGATTTAATAGAGCTTATACAGCTATTTATAAGCGTACAGCTAGAAGCTTTAGCATTTTTAATATCATATATAATTATAACTATAGTAAGATTTGTAAAAGCTTTTTTTACAAAAAAAGAAACAACATACGAAAAAGTTATTAATTATATAAAAAATAATAAAATTAAAATTATTCATAATATTTTATTATTTATTTTTCCTGTATCATCTAATGCCTGGTGTGTAGCTCAATTTTACACTTTTATATCTTCATTTTACAATGAAGATTGGGAAATACTTATTAGTTTTTTTTCAGTTTTTGCAAATATGATCTGTACAGGAATAGCTAATCAAATATTTTTAGTTTTT